CGTCAAATTTGTGGGTGTGTATAAATATGTGGCTGGTCTGCTCGTGGTGGTGAGGGTCACTGTTGTACGATCGGCAAGACCAACACGGCTGCTATTTTGCATTATGTAACACGCATAGCCTAACTTACTACACTTCTTCGCATGTCAGTATATATCCCTATGTTTCGCCCTTCATCTAAGTACAAGTTTCTTTCACTTGACCTATCAGGTGCTCGCCGGATGCTGGAGTATCAGCGTGAGTTCACATGCACTATGTGTGGCGAGGTATTCTTTGTGCAGTGCGACCATGAACAGGACAACTGCATCCCCAAACCCACCAGGTGTCCAAAAAATGACAACGGGACACCCTGCAACTCAACTAGGTTTGTGGACGTAGTGACGGATAGCGGTATTGGGATGCCAACCTATTGTAGCGACTTTCAGGTATGCAATGTAGCTGAAGGTGGGGCTGTTGAACTTCCTGTGATATACCTTTGTGTCCCCATCAGCCGCTTTTGCTTCGCAATATTTTTTGTCCTCCCTAAATTTGGGTTTAGCATATCCTAATAATCGATACACTCGACTGGCTTTCTGTTGTGTCTGTGGGTTGCTTTCTCAGATATACATTCGTATTTTTTCCTATCATCGATTTGTCCCCGAACCCTGTATGTGGCTGTACAAACCTGTGTTTGGCTGAGGACACCCTCCCTTTCCTTACCACAGTGAGTGTGTATCTGTGTAGCGTGTGAATGGCCAGCACATATCTGCGTACGCCGCACCACGTATCGTACGTGCGTATGTATACTCACACACCCCTGCTGCAACATCCCTTCTCACTCTACTTTACCACATCGCAGGAGATCAAGATACAGGAACAGATTCACAACCTGGGTATGGGGGTGATCCCGAGAAGCATGCATGTGACCCTTGAGCACGATTTAGTAGACAGGTGTAAGGCTGGAGATGACGTGACGGTTGTAGGTGTAGTCATGCGCCGTTGGAAGACCGTGTTCCCAGACGTGAAGTGCGAAACGGAATTGGTAGGTCGAGCCTGCTACGTTGTGTGTGCGTCATTTTCTATATATGAGATTTCATTGTCTATACAAATCTATGTATATATATATATATATATATATATATGTGTGTGTGTGTGTGTGTGTGTGTGTGTGTGTGTGTGTGTGTGTGTGTGTGTGTGTGTGTGTGTGTGTGTGTGTGTGTGTGTGTGTGTGTGTTTGTGTGTTGTTATCGTGTGTGTGTGTGTTTGTGTTGTGTGTGTGTG